AATTGGGTGAAATTATTTTAAAGTTGTTTAAGTTAAAACAAGTTGATTCATATAGTTTTTTAATGTTCATGCTTATAGACAATGTTGAGGAACCCAAATTGCCCAAACTAGTTTGGGCTTTGAGAAAACAGTTTGGGCCAGAAACCTTAATCAAGAATATATCCCCAGTCATTAATTCTGGTGGTAAATATTTAAGTTGGGAAGAGACAATCCCTGATAATATAATGACTGGAGGTTTGTATTATTTTATAAATTTTTTTTTTTAAAAAAAAAACCCCCTAGTTTGATCATTTATTAATAGCCAATTAATTTCTTTAAAATAGATGAAATCACTAAATATTTGAAATTTTTGTCTGAGATGTTTCCAACTAAAAAAATCATACTATTACTATATTAAATGCAGATACATGATTTCAATTGGTGAAACATTTTTGCAGGATATTCATAAATCCATTAAGGAAACAAAAAAATTAATCAATGAATAATCTCTTTTACCAGGTACGATGGTTATATAAAGTCAGAGGAAATGTCAAGTACAATGGGTTTGTATAATTTTGTGGGGGGGGGGGGGTTTAATAAAAAAATCACTGATTAATTTTTTAAATAGAAGAGTTGAAGAATCACATTAATATGATAATGAATATAGTTTGTGGGTGGCTCGAATTTTCATGGGGAAAAGATAATGAGATAAATGGCATTAAAATTGATAAGAACTATACATCGGAGGATATCGAATGGTGGTACCAAAAATCTGTCAAGCTAGATCATTACTTGCTAATACTTTTTAATGAATTAAAGTTAATGGGTGAAAGCTTATAAGGATCTTAAATAAGACTCTTATTTCTTGAAAATTGAATAAAAAATTAAAGTAATAAAAAATTAAAGTAATAAAAAATCTAAATTTTTAAATTTTAAATTTATCATTTTATTATTTTTTTTTTTATAATTGTTACCAAATTATTTTAATGTGGGAAAGTGTTGAATAATAAATGGTAACATGTTTAAACCCTGAAATTCATGGTAATACTAATACCAATGTTCACTTTGTCTGGTTTTGTTGGAGCATGCCCCATATATTGTCTGTAACAGTCATGCTGCCTTGACATCTTATAATTATACTTAATATTAATAATGATTATATGAAAAGCAAAAAAGATACCAATCATTAATATTTATCATCAATTTTCTATAGCATAAATACCTAAAGAGGCACAACAAGTTCTGCTCCATGCTCTCATTTAAACAATATACATTTCATCATATACATGGTGGAATTTACATTAAAATTATATGCAATTACACTTCATTCTGCAGCAGTGTTCCTAACCAAAAATCAAATTTTTTACAATATTCAAAAATCAATTTATCCAAGGATATTTATTTGAATATACTTATATAATTTATTTTGTAATTATTTTGGATATTCGTAATTATTTTTTTTGGACACTTGTAATTATTTTTGGGTACTCATAATTATTTGGATATTCATAATTATTTTGGATACTTAATATATGGCAAACAATTATAGGAATATAATTACATAATATTATTAAGATGTTTTATTTAAGATCAAATGAAATAGCATTATTCTGATAAATGAGCTGTTTAATAACTCCTTTAGATTATATTTTTAACAACTAATGGAGAAATAAATGTAACAATTGACAAAGTAAAGAAACTTTTAGAGTTTACATCGGAAGAACTCTGAGTTCTAGACATTCTTTATTTCAACAATTGCCCAGGTTTTGTTAATAAATAAACAATTTTATAATTGAAAATTACTGTATACAGTATGTATTAGTATAAATAAAGCTCGAGCAGATCTGCATAAAACGACGTTGATCATTTTGTATTATTCAGATCAAAAAAAATTAATAAAATAAAATGGAAGAAAATAAAATTAGACTTCAATGGTGTAAATTTATTACAGCAGTAGCTAATAAACTTGGTTTGTAAGTTGTTTTTTTTAATGAATACTGTTCAATTTTTTCCTTTAAAAATTCATTGTTTACTAATTAATATATGCATGTATATATATATATAGTCCACAGTATACAATATGTACAGCACAATTACTTTATCATCGTTATTATACAGAAAATTCAATTGAAAAGGCTACATCTTCAAACAATATAACAGCTGTAATTACAATAATAATAAAACATGATTATTTACCAATTTTTTTATATATTTTATTAATTAATTTATTTATTATTAATGTAAAATAATAATATTAATAGGATGTTAGTATAACGTGTTTATTTGTAGCGACAAAAATAGAAGAAACATACAAAAAATTGAAAGATATTCTTATAGTAGCTTACTATGTTCTATGTCCAGAAGGACCTGAAATTAATACTGAAAGTCAGGTATTATTATTTTACATTGAAAATATGAAATGTAAAAATTGTACTTTTTTTATAAGAAAATTTTTTAATAAAAAATTAATTAATTGATTAATTAGATTTTAGAAGAACAGAAAAGAAGAGTACTTACATTAGAACAAACAATATTAGAAATAACTTGTTATGAATTTAAATTTCTCCATCCACATAAATTTTTAATGAAATTTGTAAAGAAATTAGGCGGTGATAAATCTTTGGCATTTAAATCTTATCAAATAGTTAATGAATGGTATACTTTATTTACGAAATTTACATCTATTTTATATATATACACATTAATGTTGGTTTCCAAAACTATAGAGTTTCGCAACTGTGCGAAAGTCAAAAAGGTTTCGCATAAGTTGAAACTGATTTTGATTTTTTTGACTTTTGATTTAATTTTGACATATAACTTTTTAATCTTAGTTTTGACTTTCGCCTCTTCAAAATAGTTTTGGCGACCAACACTAATACACACATACATATACATATATTTATTTTCATTCATTCAGTTATAAAACAACTGTATGTCTTAGATTTCCTCCGCATACTTTGGCAGTTGCATCAATTTATTTAGCAATTAAATTATTACAACTAAACGATTTTCCACCAACTCCTTCTTCTATAAATAGTAATGATACAACTTGTGAATACGAATGGTATGAATTATTTTTATGTAGAATTGAAGATATTGAAGGTAATTAATTAACTAATCAATGGGTTGAATTGAAAGAAAATTAATGTTTGATGATTTATTTACTCTTAAGAAATAATTGCCACATTATATATTTTATTAAGGTTTATTTATTTATTATTTAGAAATCTGTCATATTCTTTTAGATAATTTTATTCTTGAAGCAAATATAAATAGTATAAATATAAATAATAATAATAATACAATGACAATAACAGAATTCAATCAATTGAAAACATTATTAAATGAACAAGCTATAAATAGAAAAAATAGAAATGAAGATGACAAAAATGATCATTCACTAGTAATAATAGGTATTATTGTTATTTAAATTCTTTATAATTTCTTGAATTCTTTCCAATTTTCTCACTCTTTTCTCAAATTTCTTTCTCCCAGATAAAGAGGATGTTCAAATGACATCAACATCATCAATTCCAACAACAAATGGTACAGATAAAAATAATGCAACTACTAGATATCTTTTTACACCAACATATGCTATTAAGCCTATTATTCACTATTAAAAAATATGAATATAATTAGATTTTTTGTAGATATTTGATAGTTTATATATTTTTAATAATAATAATAATAATAATAATAATAATGGTCATGAAATTGTGTAATTCAGAATTACTTGATCAAATTTTTTTGATTTCTTTTTAATAATAAATAAATAAAAAATGTCTTTAAGGCAAAGAGAGTTTGCTGAATTGTGTTCAAGCTCTTCCAAACCAGGACAAGACATATTTTTGGTGGTCTAGCTCATAGAAATGGATGGTGGGATCAATAAGTGTCAGCACCTCAAAAAGAAAACTCATGTCAATAAGAGAACCTTTTATTGCTGGAATTACAATACATCTCTTTGTCAAAAAATATACCTTAATATGTTGGGAATTCGTTGGGTTTAATGCTTCGATGAAAAACAAAAATGGCAATTGATAAAAATTTTGCTACTGCAGCAAAGAAATTTCTCTTGAATTATGCAGTAAATCAATTAACTCGATCACTTATATCCTTACGAGCAGAAAGAGCTGTAAATCAACTCGGAGACTTTCTTACTGGCCTGAGAGAAGATAGCAATTTGGAACTATTATTAAAGTATGATGCTATGTGCTCTTGGTGAAAATGAACTTATTGGGAAAGGTTCCGATGGCACATTGGGTGATGGAATTAAAAGGAGAGAAACATCTGAAGATTACTTGTGGATAAAGTAAAAATGGTACAACTATTTGATTTTATTTATATTTGGTTAATTTGTATTATTGTGAAAGTGTTGAATTAAATTTTATGATTCCAGGACATACCAATTTCAAATATGATGGTAGTTTAAAAAATTGTATCGAAAGACAAGTGTAGACTGTTGGATTACAGGAATATAGGGTTATTAGGTGTATTAAAGCAATAAATATAATGACTTTAATGAATGTCAAAAAGCAATTGATTTTTTAGAGGCAATTGTGATTGTTCACCAATGGCTCCCAAAAATAATTTTGTCGAATTACATGAGGCCTTTCAAGCTCTTTCCAAGTCTGAGCAAGACATATCTTTGATGGCTCAACTCAAAGTAATGAATTGAGCACTAGCAGACGTCTTAAAAAGAAAACAAAAGAACCTTCTACTTTGCCAAAAGACCTATCTCGCTATGCTAAGAGTTGGCCTGGATTGCTTTGAAAATATTAGAAATCGCTTAGCAAATAATGGTCTTCTACCAAGGGTTCATGGTAATGTAAAGAAAATGCCTCAATGAATGGTGATCAACTGAAATTGTAAAGGATTTTCCGGAAAATTGTGCTGAAATCCATGAATCAATAATAAATCCTTATCAACAAGCAGTGGATTGTGTGTATACTATGGTGGTTACTATTTGTTTCAGACACAGCTTTTATGGAATTGCACTTGTTTGAGATATGGGAATAGCAAGGATAATTGTCATGTGAGCAACAGCACTTATAGAAGTTGTTGTTGGTATATGTAAGCCATGAATATTATGATAATAATCAATGTTTGCAATTATTGGATTTTCCTGACGTTTTGATGGCTCTTTTCAGCAGCATTTTCTTTACGAATCAAAGATATGGCATTAATTTCATGCCGGGTTTCCCTTGATGTTGAACATAATTGCATGTTTAGAGAATATATCTATAGCTTTGTTTGAAGTACCTGATTGATCTAAAAACATTGTAATATCCTCTTTCGTGTTTATTCCAATTTCTGAAAGAAAGTAACATAAAAAAGATAATCCTTTTTGTCGTTGCAAGATTGTATAATCCGAAAGACCCCTATCATTTGGATCAATTAATTTCTCTAGTTAAAAATAGAATAAGGATTAATATACTGTCACCAACTATTTGAGAGTGTTTATAGTTAATGGCAAACGAAATAGATTTTAATATAAATCAAGTGAAGTGCGGCGAATGGCTTTTAGTTTGTGATTTGATTTGGGTCAAGTTGAAACTTGTTGGCCGTTATTATTTCTTTATTCGAAAGTCATATGAAAACCTCGTTTCAACTAATTATAATTAAATTCGCGTTACAACGAATTTTACATTCTTGATATTGAGAATTGATCCGTAACAGTCATGAACATACGCGTAACAATTCAATTTAAAGTAAAAAAAATAAGGGCGCGAGAAGCAAAAAAACTATATTATAGGTGTCACTTTTTTTTACGTAGATATATGTTCTCTACATATTGGTGAAAATAAGATCCACAGGTACAGAAGTAAAGTTTTAGAAATTGTACAGTTCGCACTCTATAACGATTACGAAAAAATGAGAGAATCCGTTACAGACAGTAATAGTAATGATTTATTATTATATATGAAACATAAATTGTGCTTAAATTTTCTCGGTCTCTTATTATTATATTATTATAGAGCAATATCCGTTATAGAGAGATCCGTTACTATTATAGTAATAGTAATAGTAAGAGAACGAACGGTATGTTGAAATACATTTATTCAGATATACACATTTATTATTTTATTATTTTATTATAAAAATTTGTTTATTCAGTAAATACAAATTTTCATTAAATAATTTTATTAACTTGTGATATTTGTCAAGGTAATTGTTATTGTGCATTATTTATTATTTTACTTATTATTTTAGATAAATTTCAAAAAATTAACATCAATCAATAATAATTCTACTGTACCCTTTCACATGGAAAAAAAAACATCGAGCATGAACATCATTGCAAAATAAATTCTAAATTGTAGTTCATAAGATTACTCGCTAAAAAAATTTTTTTTTTTGAAGCATGTAACGGTTATATTGAATGACTGATAATAAGTTCAAAAATAAATTTCATTCTAGGCTGTTGAGAGTTACGGCCAATCAGCATAGTGGACATTCGTTTTATCACTTGTGACAAAATCGATCATCAATATTTTTTATATTGTGGAACTTGCCATTTCAATCGAATTTAGAATAGAAAAAAGTCGCGTAACGATCTTCAAGCCAATAAAATTTAATATTTGCGTGATATCTGGAAAGGAGATCGTCACAAAATTTAGCCAATGAAATCAAATGTCCACTATGCTCGGCAAATCAAAATCAATTTTACGCAGTGTTGGCAATTGGACATCACACTATACCTTTTTTGGTATTTTGATGCATGTAATCGACGGCGCCAATATCCACTATGCTGTTTTTGGTAATCTGGATCAACTGACGGACAATAAGAATGTCCATTATGCTAATGCAATTAGTAGATAGGTATAATGAACAGTATACATATCAATTAAACCATTGTTTGAATCAGGAATCCCAATTTTAGACAATATCCCTTGTTATTATGCTTGATACTAACAAGATTCACTGGGGGGTTAGATATATATAAGTATAATGAAATAGTAAAACAGATTTTTGTCGATCATTTTCACTGCTATCTGCTATTTAATTAATTAAAGAAAACGTAAACTGTTATAATTCATCATACAGATAAGATTTTTTTAATTCTGAAAAATATTTTGAGCTTGCAGAATATACATCTACAATATAACAGTGCCATATTTATCAATATTTGATGTACTTTCATATTGAAAATGCAATTTTCGTCACAAATTCTAGATACCTACTAATGCAAATTTAAAAGACCATACATAATAAACAAAAAACAGCATCGTTACGTTCCTGACAAGGTTCTTGGTAATTAAAAACACTTTTAGATTTTTTTTTCTAGCTATTTTGCTTCCAAAGTTATAAGCGTTTTAAGATTCCAATTGTTAAAATCAATTTATTTAAAGAAAATTGCCTTTGCATAAATTGTTATAACTCATCATACAACGAGAATTTATTAATTCTGAAAAATGGTTTGAACTTCCAAAATATCTCTCCACAATGTAACAGAGTCATAGTTTGAAAATATTTATTAACATTGATGCATTTCATATTTCAAATATAATTTTTTGTAACAGCTCTGTTATACTATAAACAAGGCTTCTAATAGTTAAAAATAATTTTTTAATTTTTTCCCCGGGTATTTTGTTTACAAAGTTACGTATAAATGGTTTAAAATTTTGATGTTAAATCAATTTGTTTTAATTAATTAAAGAGAATCGCATTGTATAAACTGCTATAACTCATCATACAGATGAGAATTTTTAATTCTGAAAATTTTTTTGAGCTCGCAGAACATCTCTCTACAATGTAACAGAACTATATTTTAAAAACATTTATTTATAATTGATGTAATTTTATATTGCAAATGTAATTTTTGTCATAAACTCTAGATACCTACTAATACAAATTAAAAGGCAACATTGTTACATTGTAGACAAGGTTCTAAACATTTTTAATCTTTTTTATAGTTTTTTTGCTTCCAAAGTTATAAACGTTCTTAAAACCATTTTGAACTGCATTTTTATGTGGTACAAAACCGTTATTAATTGATTTTTTTCCCTGTTTGTTATAAATGTACGAATAATGAATGAATGAATTATTCCAAATGTGATTGTCCATCAAATACATTATTACCACAAACTTAGTATTAGTGGTATCTGAATTTTCGGGTCCGTATTTACTTAATTTGATAAGATCAACATTTAATTAATTCGTGCGACCCTTTAATTCAAAATTTTACTTTATTTGTAAAAAATAAATCAATCTCGTCTATTAAACAAAATCACCCAATTCACGAACAGAAACCACTACTATCAGTAATAATAACAATCATACTAATATGTTGCCTGATCAACTTTTAGGGAATTTAGAAGCTAAAATTTCATATGAAATAAACGATAATCCTCATCAATCCATAAAGGCAAAGCATAGTAGATTGAATTACACTTCATTGATTAGACCATTTTTAGAAAGAAAACGTTGGAGATATATATCTTGTTTAATAGTGGTAGTGATTGTTTTAGCTTTATTTCAAGGCCTTTTAATGTTTTCGGATTTCTTACTGTCTTCAAGAAATAATCATCCCCCAAATAGGTAGGTAGGTATGGCGATTTAAATTTTTTTTGTTCAAATTATAATTTAATTTAACACAGTTTATTTCACCCAATTTAAAATAATTATAAAACAATAATGATATGATGTAAAAAGAAAAACAAAATTACCAACCAGTAAAATACATTGGAATACCTTCTAACGCAACAACGGAATTAAATAAAGCTACAAAGATTTTTCATGTTACAAAAGAGTTTGGATTAGCATCAATGAGCGGGTTAGGTCATGTAGTTACAGGATTAGCAAAGGCTCAATCTGCCAATAGTGGATTGGATGTGAATGTGATAATGCCTTTCTATTCTTTTATGAAGCCACACTATCCATTTCGCAAGTTTGCTCAAATGTCAATTGACGTTCGTAATAAACATGGTAATTGGCATCAAGTGATTTTCATGGTACACAGATTTTTTTGGAATATAACTGAAGATGATGATGCATTGAGTGATGACCAATCACATACATCACCACCTGGATCATCATCAAGAGCTGTAACCGTTTTTGCAATTGGCCCTGGTAGAAAAATGAAACCTTTTAATTTTGCTTTTAAATCTGACGGGGTAACTGATATATATTCAACACCATCTGAATTACCTCAAGAATGGAGTGATTTATATTTTTGTAAAGGTGTAGCTGAATTAATAGCTTATATGAATAATGACATTGACACTCCTTTATTTGCAATTGAAGAAGAACGAGGTATCGATATTGTGCATATTCATGGTGCTACAAATGCATTGGTAATAGAATTTTTTAATGATTTAGCTAAAGTAGATAATAGATTTAGCAAACCACCACCTGCTATTGTTTACACTTTGCATGATTATTTGGAGGAACAATTATATTCAAACGAGATTATAAATATTTTAAAGTTTATGGATTTGAAAAATTATACAGCCGAAAAACCAACTTATTTTCATGGACAAAGAATGTATACATCATCATTAGCAATCGATCAAGCAGATTATGTCACATTTGTCTCATATACTATGGCAAAAGAAATGGTGGAAGGGCCAATGGATTTCTATCTTAAAGAATTGATTATGCCTAGCATATTGGAACGTGCCAGAACAGGAAATTGGATTGGTATAACTAATGGTATTGATACAACAACTTTAAATCCATTTAATGACACATTATTAATTGAAGCCAATTCGAACTTTCCAAGAAACATTAATTCATTCAACCCGAATGTTCTTATTCCTAGTAATTTTGAGCACTACTATAATGATCTGGTGACTTCTTCAAAAATTAATGCTAAAAGACATTTGGTTAAAGAAGGTCTCCTTAAAGAAAAAGACCTGGATCGTGTGATCGTTTTGTTTGTTGGCAGATTCCAATACAATAAAGGTGTTCAATATTTCCATGAAGCTGCTCAAATCATTTCAGAATTAGGTGCCAAATTTATAATAATGGGACAACCTAATAGTTTTCCAGTGGAAAAGATTGTTAGCATAAGTAAAGAGTATCCAGATGATGTTGTAGTTATTAGTGAGCTTGAATTTCAAAATAATTGGGATGTTTTATATAGAGCTGCTGCTGATATATTATTTGTACCTAGCATAACAGAAAGTTTTGGATTAGTGGCAGCAGAAGGATTATTGTTTGGAACTCCTGTAGTTAGTACAGGTGTTGGTGGATTAAAAGAATTTTTGAGAAATAAAACAAACACTATACTGCCAACATCTTCATCTTCTTCATCCTCGACACCATCAAAACCATCAAAACGGCCGTCACCGTCAAATGACTTAAAGTTCAATTATAATTCATATTTATTCAATTTGTATGAAGGTGATTGGTTTGATTTTTCAGTTGAGGAAATGAGATTAGCATTAAGTACAGCAATCAGTGATATAAAGGAATTGTCAAATGATATTAGAAGTAAAGAAATATTTTTGAGAAAACTGATTAAAGATGCTTTAAATTTAGGTTGGAATAGACATGATGGACCTGTTGATCAATACACAAAAATTTACAAGATGGCAATTGAAAAACATAATTATGATTTAAGTAAAAAAACGACTTATAATAGTAATTTTTTTTACAACATATAATAATAATAATAATAGAAAATAATTTACATAGAATATTTATTTATTAATTTTAATTTTAATTTTAATTTCTAATAAATTTATCCCATATTTTTTTTTAATGATGTTGGATTAAAAAAATAAAGCATTATTCGTTGATATTAACATTAATATTAATTAAATATAGTCTAATATTTTCATTAATTATAACTCTAACGTTGTAGGTTAATATGGGGCATGCTTGCAGCAAAACGAATACGACGCTAAAAGGTATTGCAGGGATTCGAATTTAGCATTCAATAGCCTATTGGAGTAATTAATCCAAAAGTATAGATATTAATAATATGAGGTATTTGTGTTGTCTCCTATATCTTTCTATCATTATAATGACAGTAGAATTTTTCAACAAAAAATAATCATTATAAATATTTTATACAACAAGGCTTTATAGATATATATATACCTAACAACCGAGGTATTTTAATGCTCAGTCTGATTTATTGATGCCACATTGACAATGCATCAATTACTTATGAGCATAAAGGTAATATCGACACTTAATTTAAAAAAGTATATCCACCAACCAGACAGAACTAGTGACGGGTGTTTGACTGTTATAAATTTTTTATAACAATATAACAATATAGTTGTTACATAACATTTTTACAACAGTTAACCATTACTGAATACATACTAATTAGTATTAGTATTAGTATTAAAAAGTATACTAATACGGAAAATGATTTATTTTTAATATGGGAAAGTGGCTTTTTCCCGCGTTTGTTTGACTACATTTGCCTTATTATTATAATCTTAAAATCCGGTTTGATTCAAATCGAATCTAACCGCTTTAAAATTCGACTCGATTCTTAATTACAATTATTGCTATTATTTATATACTAATGAAATTAATTGGAGTAACAACCATGAAGGTGTGAACCTATTAAAGCTGCACTACAAGGTCACCTACCTGAAAAGAAAATACACAGCTGCCTTGGTTTTCTAACCAGGGAAATACGAAAGTACTTGCATGTGTGTGGAAAGGATAGTTCTATTAAATCTAAGCTCAATATGTCAGATTCATTTTATTTTTTTGGGAATGGTTTTTAAGAACTCTAGAACATGGTTGGCATTTAGTCATTGACAAAGAATTCTTGGCCAAATACCAACCATGCTCTACAACTTGCAATTGCAATTGTAATTTGGAACTGA